GTCCAATATGAACCAATCCGATAAATTAGCGACGAATTCGTCCAAAGTTTCGGGAAGCGTCGAATAGAAATGNGCACGGCTTTGGGCAGATTTCCGGATCAATTTGTAGCGATCATTTATCGACTGAGATAACCACCCTTTCTCAATACCCAATCCACTTAGCTCCTGATGATAGTCTCCATTTATATTTGTTTAATGATGATCAGTTCGTTTTTACAAAGCAGCAACAGAGCCCCATCATGATATCGAGAAGTAATAATTAAATAATTCCAGTGAAATGAAAGAAAACGATATACCAAATCGACTGAAATGAATGAGGAGTTTTTAATTGAAACGAGTAGATAGGTCCAGAGTTGATTCAGATTATCCTTGTTTATCTCCAGAACCGGGATTGTCGAAATACGACCTCGATGACTCCGAAGGTCCACGACGGTTGCTGCATCAGCTGATATCTTCTGTGTGCCATCACCACTCGAAGACGATGGCTTTATCTCGTGTTGGCAATCGAAATCGAGCATCTGACGTGTTCGAAAAGCTCCCTCTGGAAACATAAAATGTATTGCATTCAACTTGAAAACTTCATATCAGTCATAATCAAAACATCTGCAGAAATATTTCTTGAGAATACAGTATTTAATACTATATTTCAGAAAAATACTGCCACATCAAAATCCGTAATCCTGCAGTACAGATCAAGGAAAAAGGGGTGTGATATAACACACTGAACACGCCTTAGCCATCGCACGCATGAAGGCATTCTGCCACAGCTACATTCGCACATATACAAATGCTTTCCGGAACAATGAGAAGTAGTTCAACTGAACAACTACATAACTCAGTTCGAGTAAATAAGCATGCTTGCAGCTAAGTGTGATCCATGTAGCGAAAATTAAACCAGTGATAAACGCTAAACAACAATTGGGTAGAGTTTGGATTCATATTATGGATATATTCAATTTACCTGAGGTGAAAAATAGAATACAATCAAGAATTGCAAATTTGTTTTCGAAGCTGAAGAGTATTGACCTAGTGTGCAATAGAAGTCACATGCATACTAATACCAACTGAAATGAATCCGTACTGGATAGCAATACAGACACAATGAATTGGAGTGAGCCACTCAGCTACGTGAGATGGCTTTAGAAAATCGTTGATATTAACATTTTACACCGATGTGTTCTCAGTATAACAGAATTTCGCAGTAGGCTTCTGAATGTACTGCGTCAAAAAGTAGTCAGTTAACCCTGGGGGTATTACTGCTGTTGGTTGCATTAACTGTGGGCGTGGCTAGTTACCGTAGTTATTCAACCCCGGGGTAGTTGCATTAACTGTGGTTGGTTGCACTAACTGTGGGCGTGGCTAGTTACCGTAGTCGTTCAACCCGGGGGTAGTACTCTTGTTGGATGCATTAACTATGCGTGTGGTTAGTTGCCTTAGTCATTTAACCCCGGAGCTACTGCATATAAATTTTATCAAGCAGTTCTGCCTATATGAGCAGATATATACTATCGCAGTGGCGCTATAACACCACAAAAGTTCATATATTCAAGCTCCTGGTATTCTTATGTTTGCCCAGTAACATCAAATTCTCTAAACCATTCGATTCCTCAGAACCCCTGGATTCAGAATACAATATATTTTGCTTAGCAGTTCTACTTACATGAGGAGATGTAGCTGTTTTTCTAAAGCTATCTCAAAAAGCGCAGAAGCGCTCATTCAGTATCACTATAAATCAATGAATACATTACTATAGCGTACTCTCAGGTTTGCCCCGTAACATGTGAATGTCTTTACATCATTCGATTCCTCAAAACCTCTGGTTTCAGAATAACATATATTGAGTCGAGCAATAATGATTACATGAACAGATATAGCTATTTTCGCATTTCTGTAGGGGTTGCCATCTTGGAACCTACCGTACTCTCACCTTTGCCCACTAACATATGAATTTCTTTGCATCGTTCCATCCAGCGGAATCACGCATTCAGAAAAAATATTTTGCCGAGAGATTTCGCTTAGTTGAAGATACATAACTACTTTCTTAAAGCCATCTCAATTAGCGTAGAGGCGCTCATTCATACAAATTGTATCTCTTTAGATCAATTGTACACATTATTGTAGCGCTATAGGCGTTACGATCTTCAAGGTACCGGTACCTCCAGGTTTGCCCGGTAACATCTGAATTTGTTCATACCGTTTGATCCAGCGGAACCTATGGATTCAGAAAAACATATATTTTGATGAGTAATTTGGCTTGCTTGAGGAGATATAGATATTTTCGTAGTACTACTTCAAGGCTATGCGGCTGCCACCTTCAAACCTGCCGTACCCTCAACTTTGCCCGGTAGTATGTAAATTTCTTTACAACAATTGATCCACCAGAATCTCTCCATTTAGGAAAATATATATTTTGCCGAGCGATTTTGCTTTCTTGAGGAGTTAT